ATTTAAAATAGAAGTAAGCTCAACAAATATTCTCAAGACCGGGTACTTGGATAAACATGGCCTTAGTTGTCGGTCATTCTACAGTTTCATCGACCTTTGCCTATTTTCTTGGAAGGCCAACGAAAACCTGACTCTGGCGGTCAACTCTGCAGAGTCGATCGGCTGCTGCATCGTGAATGTCGGCCCAGAAGACATTGCTCACCGTTCGCGTCACTTGGTGCTCGGACTGATTTGGCAGATTATCCGCATCGGACTGCTCAGTGTCATCAGTCTTACGCACCACGCCGAGCTGGCCGCTCTGCTGTATCCGGGCGAGTATCTGGACGACCTGCGTCTCTTGTCACCAGAGGATCTGCTGTTGCGTTGGGTCAACTACCACCTCGAACAAGCTGGCATCACCCACCGGATGGCCAACTTCACCAGCGGCCTGATGGACTCCGAGATTTATGCCGCCCTTTTGCAGCAAGTTGCGCCCGAGGAGATGCGCTCCATGCTGATCCCGGCAAGTGGTATTCTGGCCGAGAGCGAGATGTTACGGCGAGCCGAGATGGTGCTGCACAACGCCGAGGTGCTCGGAGCGGCGGCCTTCCTCACGCCCGAGGACATCGTGCAGGCAAATGAAAAAGGCATGAATCGAGAGAAGCTGCATCTGGCCTTTATCGCCAACCTCTTCAACCTCTACCCAGGCCTGGAATGCACGCCCCAAGTTGAAGTGGACGAGACCCTGGAAGAGAAGACGTACCGAAATTGGATGAACTCTATGGGAGTGGCACCATTCGTCAAAGACCTTTCGGTTGATTTACGCACCGGCCTCATCTTCCTACAACTCGTCGACATTCTGCATACAAGCACAGTGGACTGGAGCAAAATTGTGCGCCAGTTCGACCCAAAACGACGCATCTTCCAGATGCAGGACAACTGCAGTTACGCCATCGAATATGCCAATATGCTGGGTCTGAATGTGGTCAACCAAAGTGGCGAAGACATTCGCACTGGTGACCGTAAGTTGACGCTGGGATTGGCTTTTCAACTCATGCGTGCGTATACCATCAAGATGCTGTCTCGTCTGCAGGGCAACGGTTATCCGGTGGAAGACCGAGACGTCTTGACCTGGGCTAATGAACGTCTGGCCTCTGTGGGTGCCAGCGCGCTGGTTAGTTTCAGGGACTCGAGCATCTCAACCGGAGTTCCCGTGCTCAATCTCATCAATGCCATCAAGCCGAATTCGGTCGACAAGAGCATGGTTTCCAAGGCTAAGGAGGCTAATTGCCGCCTCGCCATCAGCACCGCGAGGAAGATCGGAGCCAGAGTCTACGCGCTGCCAGAACACTTGCGTGACGTAAATCCCAAAATGGTTATGACCGTGTTCGCTTGTTTGATGGTGCTCGACTACCAGTTGAACCGTCAACAACGAACTTGCTGTTAAATAGCCTCCAAAGTGTCATCTGCTCAGCTGCTTTTCTCACCCGGCATCTGATAGCAGAGTGTTGCGGCGTAAAGTAAATGTCGTCCCTTTTCTCTCGATTCGCTCCTATTCCTTTCATCTCTCGCCTGAACTCCACTTCCTACGTCCGGTCCGCGAAGATGACAGTATATATGCTTGTATGATCCGTAGTCTCAAGGTGCTATATCATAGGTCTATGGGTAATATTTTGAATTGCATCCTGATGGAAAACTTTGATACTTTTGTCAAGCTCATCCTAGAACTATCCTTAACGCGCTGATAAATTACATAAAAATATTATTCTACACTAATGTTGTCTGTCAAGTGTCGCCATTTGCCAGATGGTGTATTGCCTACTTGAAAAAAGGTAGTTCTTTCATTAAGCCAGCATGCCTGAACTTTTAAAGAGAACTTTTTGCATAATGACAAATAATCAAATGAGCCAAAGGCCTATTCACTTATAATAAGAGTATTTTGTTATCTGCTGAGTTTGTAATTATGGGACGACAAATACTGTCATTCTAATAAAATTCACTGTCGATATGAAGGCCAATTCAATGGCAATTCACTTAAAGAACCAGGCGGCTTCAGCGAATACGAGGACAGAATGCGGCTAGCACAGAAAAGAACGACAAACTAAGAGGCAGTCATATCAAAAAGAGGTTTGACTAATCGTGATCGGGTCCATACAGCCTGAATCGTAATTCACAGTAGGAACTTTTGAGAAAATTCGATTCCTGCCTATCCAGAAAAGCTTCTCCCTCTCCGTAGCGAATTCATGCTTTCTGATAAATAATTTGTTGTCATTTTCTAGATGATTGACA